GGTTGACTCAGCCTTCCATCCTTCCGAGGTGGGTAAAATGAGGACCCGGATTGTTAGGGGGCAATATGCTGACTCTGTAAACCGCTTAGAGAGGGTTGAAAGCCCTATGAAGCGGTATATAAGTCTAACTGCTATTGCTATTGCTATTGTTGTTTGTATGTACACTGAGAGCTTATGAACTGGAGACAAATTCCTTGTGTGTCCAATCACACTTGGCCAATAAAGAATATTCTAATTCTAATATATTTTTTGAAGGGATGTCCAGGGTAGAAATGGCAAGAGATGGAAATGGCAACACCAGTGACACACCCAATACATGGTTTGGACAGGTCAGTATATCATTGTTTTTAGTTAGTTAATTGGTTGGATGGTTAGTTTGCTGCCCATTTCACTGCAGCTATCTTAAGATTCTCAGGGATGAAACATTGCGCAACATTTATTAGGGATAAGAATATGGTTTCTACATCATCATAACAAATCTGTAGGAAACGTACTTAGAGGTTTTAAAGGGAACAGGCCTGGATGAAAATCAGGTTGACGCTAATCAATCTTTCTGAAATAACCCCAATGTATTTTGTATCCTAGCTCAGATGGCTCAGTGGCTAAGATGCCGTACTTGTCGATCAGAAAGGTCGGCAGTTCAGTGGTTCAAATCCCTGGCGCCTCGTAACGGAGTGAGCTCCCGTTACTTGTCCCAGCTTCTGCCAACCTAGCAGTTCGAAAGCATGTAAAAATGCAAGTAGAAAAATTTGGTGGGAAGGTAACAGCATTCTGTGCTCCTTCAGCATTCAGTTATACTGACCACATGACCACGGAGACATCTTCGGACAGCCCTGGCTCTTCAGTTTTGAAACGGAGATGAGCACCATCCCCTAGAGTTGGGAACGACGAGCACATATGTGCGAGGGGAACCTTTACCTTACCTTATTTTGTATCCTATGCAGAAAACGTGAAGCTCTGGTATTATTGAGATTATTTTACAAAGAAGACTTTGTACAATTTTGAAGTGCTGTTTAGGTCTCTTTTGGGGGGGATTAATTCATAAGTTGCTTCTTGGTGAGGAATACTAGGCAATATGCCGATATAATTATCTCTTCAATTTGCATTAAGATAGTGAGACTTCAGGAGTTAACTTTTAAAATGTTATTTTTATCATTTTATAATTTATGACAGCATGATAACAGTACAGTTTATTCTCTCATTTTGAAAAAGACTTAAGTGTGAGCAAATTAAATCTTGAAATGGAAACAACCAGAAGAGGCAAGAAGGCAGAAAGGTGGCTAAATCTGTTGGTTTTTGTGTTTGTGAAGTGCCAGTACACAGCAGATGAATACCAGGCTGTTCAGGCGGCTCTGCGGCAGAGGCTGGGCCCAGAATACATCAGTAGCCGACAAGCTGGAGGAGGACAGAAGGTACAAATTAGA